TTCCTTGGCAGTCCCCGCGAGATTAACCCATCAAGTTGAGGCTTCGCACTCCTTCGTGGTCATTTTAGAGACCTGCAGAAAATCTCTTTCCAAAGACTCGTTCATCCAACGAACAACGAGGCTCTCGAACACATTGCCAAGGGAGGTGTTCCCCGAGGCATATAACCTCCAGAAATTTGAGAAGAACACCAATTCCTACCTTATTTCCCTTGGTTCTCACGATGTTCTCTGAACATTACAGGATAAAATCATGGAAATCATCCATATCTCTTGTTCCCATTGTCTCAAAAATTTTGTTTGGTTTGTCAATGGTCATTAGTTTTGTCATATTTGACTTTTGACTGGTGTCACTTGTCATTGTCATGATTCTGGTCATCATTTATATTAATTTTATTTGTATGTCATGTGTTATTGATATTGACTTGTGTCACTTGCTCTTTGTCATGTTTCACGTTTCATATGATTTTGATGTTTCTGATTCTTAGAATTCTGTTTAAGCTGCCATTTGCATTTTGCATAATCTGATGAATCTCACGTGAGAGGATTTTATTATCATTAATATTATGTTGATCTGGTTCTACTGGACTTTTTCCAGATTCAAAAATAAAAGCTATTCATATTCAGGACTGATAATTGTTTTTCGACCTCTGGCTTTTGATAATGTTATAAACAATTTTTGCCTCTGATATGTATCACTGAGGTTAGCATACCAGATTTTTTGACTCTCTTTTTGACTCCTTAATCATGTTCTTTCTATCTTTCAGGTACTTTAATACATCAATTTTGTGTCTGATGATGGCCTGTGGCCGAAACTAGTAAAGGCTGAGACACAATTGAAGTTTTATGTTATAAGTTTTAAGTTTTATGATTCAAGATATAAGTTTTATAAAATGAATACACAGGTCCTTGTGGCGAAAGACAGAATACAAATTTATGAATTAGGAAATAAGTTTCATGTTTTAAGATACGGACGTGATGGTTTTTATGATTTAAAATTTAGAAACCCAACCAATCACAGCAATCCTTTTTCACACGGAACAATTTCTGTGCAGCTGTATGATGCATGATGCATGCCACATAACCTCAAAACAAATACATCAAAGATCCATTTTTGAAAAAGTTTTGAAGAAAAACGTTGATTGATGTGTGAAAATAGTATAATAACATGACACATTTTCATGATTATACGAATTTAGATTATTCGGACATGATATTATTAGAAAATAAAACTGATACTGAAATAACTGAATGTCCTGACGAAAATACACAAAGTGAAGAAGAAAATGATACTGTAAATAGTTCAGAAGAACTCTTGATTCAGGTGGTAAAATCATACAACCTTATTGGTGGAATTTCAGCTTTTATATTTTGATTCTGTTTTGGATCCTGTTTTTATTTTTGATACATAAATCTTAAACCTTAAAACTTATAACATAAAACTTCAATTGTGTCTCAGCCTTTACACTACTATTATTAAAAAAAATTTTCGTGGTCGACAGACTTTGAGACTTTCGTTGTTTTTTCTTATAAAAATTACAGGATAACCCTTTTTGTGGGAACCTGATCGGCGAATATCACAATGCCGTTTGGGTTTTCGTTAGATGAAAAATCGGAAGATTTCAGCGGAAAGCGAGCCAGAATTCGTTCCATATCGGCGTCCCCGAATTCCACCGAGTCTCTGACTGCATAAATACGGGTTTCGATACCGCAGGATTCAGTGGAATGTCCTGCTATCACGCGGTGGATATTGAACGTTCTCTATCACATTCTTGCTCTATCGCTCTATCTGCTTTGACCCACTCGTGACAGTCACAGTGGAAAATTTTTGATAAATACCAGTGGATTTGAATTGTCAACATTATGATCATTTTACGAGGTGAGAGGGGTAAGTGTCAAGTTTGAAAAAAAAAATGGAAAGTAGCTCGAATACGTCATTTAGTAGGCAAACTAGAAGATGAAAATGTATGAGGACCACAATAGACCTATTATCCCATCGTCTATTCCAAAATTAATCTTATCGGTACGAAAACAATCATCTGAAAGCCCTAAAAACTCAGACATTTCCTAATTGAATAGCTTATTCGAAATTGGATCAGCAATATGTTACTCAACTCGTACTATACAGAGTGTCCCGTAAAGACCACGTCAAACCTAGGGAGAATGTAGATCATAGGATAACCCACCTGCTTCGACAAAATTCTCACTATAAAAGTCGTACCGTTTTCGGGATATATTTTTTTTTGTGAAAATATTGAATTTTTGCCCCTTTCAATAGTTTTGTCTGTACGGTTGGTACAATTTTACACCTTTCTGGTTCGTTTTTTCAGTAAATATTGCTGAAGAATGATTTCAACGTAAACATTAAAAACATCCTCCAAAAATTTTGAAGGGGGCTGTGAGAAATATTGTTTTCTGCAACCGACACAAAAGTCGTCCAAATTGACGTTTCTATTACTGACACAAAAATAGGTATATTGCTAGGCAACATATTTAGTTCCTAGGAGCTAAAGTTGAATTTTAGTTCCTAGGAGCTAAAGTTGAACTTTAGCTCCTAGGAACTAAAAGGGATATACTGGACGTCATCAAGAATAAACAACATTGTGGCGGCTGGTTATTTGGGTTGAGACGCATACCTGATTTGTTTCTGATTTTAGCAGATTTGGCATTTCATACCCATGCTGGAGATATAAATACACCTTACTATAGTTTAGTATTGGAATTATAAACATCTCAGTTAAGTATTTTTGTTTTGATCAGGGAAGCCTTCAAGATTCAAATACTTGCTTGATCTGTATTTCATTCGTTATTCTCGGGATGTATAACTTGTTTTTGAATATTCACGGCAAGCAATAGTTTTTTTGTCTCAAACAACGATATTGTTTAACTTCATTTGATTATCAAGTCAAACACAGTGTAGTATGGAGAGGAATAAATAATCACTATTATCATTGTTGATATGCTCACTAACCTAACATTTTCCACGTCTTGTTCCTATACCTGGCACTGGCGCGGTATTTGCCATTAGAGCACCTGGTCCATACACAAATATGTCACTCTGTGGTTGTATTTATATTGAAACTACAATTTGAACATCCTAGAAAACCTAACCTGCTGTTAATGCAGGTAGAATATTCTCACCACATGGATTATTTGTCAATATTTGTTGCATTGCATACATATGGCACGGCATTGGTGGTTACTTCACATGTTTATTTGAGTTAATTGTTTCGGTTGCAGAAAAAACAGCATGTTTCATTCGGATCAAAAGTGACTTTGTTCGACTCGCAAATTTTGCTTTTGCTCGGCTTCGCTAAACGCTCCGCCTCGCAAATGCAAAATTCGCTTGTCAGACAAAGTGTCACTTTTGATCCTAATAAAACAATCTACTATTATTGAATACTTTGGTAGTATATTTTCAGAAAAACAAAACTCGAAAACGGTAAGACTTTTATAATGGGAATTTCGTCATATGCAGGTGAGTTATTCTTTGATCTACATTCTCCCTAGGTTTGACGTGGTCTTTACGGGACACTCTGTATATCTCCTACAGTTTTTTCAAGAGACATTTATTCCTCGTATAGCAAAAACAAAATATCCTTAACTTTGCTTGTTCAGTTTATTTCTTCTATATTGTGTACCACTTAGATTTAGAATTACAATCAATGTGAACATTCCACTTATTGTATATTTCAATGGAAATGAATATTGCATGGAAATATGTTCTGTTCCATGTACATTTTTTTCTCTGATTGAAAACATAAAGGGTATAGTACAATATTCATGCTCAGTAGGCTGTACAATGTAAGTTAATCGAAGTCTGCAATTCAATTTTCGTCTGTTTTTGTGGCACACAAAATGCCATCAATTATTATATCAGAGATCGTTCAGCCATCAACAAAAAATTGAGTTTGATTGATGTGGAAAGGAAAATTGCATCATTAGTTGTGAAATGATACTGTCTTCCTCAGAATGTGTGGTGTAACATTTTTCTTATAGAACAACATTAGCTTTAGTCGATATTATATAATTTTTTTATAATCCCATATTTGACAGAATTAGCATTTATAAATTGGGGTTGATAAAAATACCACACTCTAGATGAATAAGATTTACTAGCTGGTCATAGTATCAAATACTCCCTGTGTGCCGTGTGGTGTGTCTCTGAATATATTCATGGCAAATTTTACCACGATGCTGTGTTGATAGTTTTCAAAAGCCGATCTCACTGTGCCCAACATAAGCTTGTCAGGAGTAACCATATCTTTGAAGACATCCATTTCGATGCTTGGTATTACTATCAGCAATAACCTTTCTTCGGAAAATCACGTGAGATCAATTGCTAAAAATGCATCCGAAATACTTGGTTTTCTGTTTCCGGCCAGGAGCTATTTCACTTCCAGTCAGCTGCTCATGATCTATAATGCACAGATCCGACCTGTCCTGGAATACTGTTCCCATATTTGGAGTGCAGCACCCAAACATGCCCTGAAACTGATGGATTCTGTCCAAAAAAGGACAATTCGTCTCGTGAGTGATGCTTCGCTCACACCGTAGACAAGTTGGCGACCTGGCCCTATTTTAGGTATATATATTTTCATGGACGATGCTCTTCTGAAATATCAACAATTGTTCCTCCCTTGGCAGTCCCCCGCGAGATTAACACGTCGAGTTGAGGCTTCGCACCCTTTCGTGGTCACTTTGGAGACCTGCAGAACATCTCTTTCCGAAGACTCGTTCATTCAACGAACAGCGAGGCTCTGGAACACATTGCCAAGGGAGGTGTTCCCCGAGGCATATAACCTCCAGAAATTCATGAAGATCACCGATTCCCACCTTATTTTCCTTGATTCTCACGATGTTCTCTGAGCATTATACAGGATATCCCTTTTCGTGGGAACCAGAACATAAACGGGTTAATTATACAGCCTCAAAAAGGCACACAGTGTGAAATGTCAGAAAGTCACATGTCACCATCTCCTGGTCTATAAGTCTTCCTTTTCAGACGATGAAAAATTGATCGACCAAAAGAATTCAAGAAAACATTCGCCTCTCTGCCCATCAAACTGAACCATAAGAAAAGCATGGAGAAATCCAAACGGAAATCCGCCCAGCACCATGCAAAAGAAAACTCCTGGCTGTGCGACGTTTCGGTATTCTCGGTGGCCGTCTTCAGCTATCTGAACGGTTCCAACGGAGATTTCGTCCACGACGACATTCCGGCTGTCACCTTGAACAAGGACGTTTCCGCCGTTAATCACGTGGGTCGAGTGTTCGCCAACGATTTTTGGGGCACTCCGATGGCAGATCTCGACAGCCACAAGTCCTACAGACCGCTGACAACGATCACGTTCAGGTTAGTGGCATGATTATCGTGGGTAATTGCACACATCGTTTATCCGGAAGAAAAGAGTTACAATTCAAAATTTCACATTTCTGAGTTCCTCTTCAAAATGGCTTTCAAATCTTGCATACTTTTATGGAAAATAATGTTACATGTGAGCTTCATTCAGCGGCCAAGAGATGGCGACATGAATCTCTCTGGAAGAATCGAATTTTGGGACATATCAATTGGGAAGACCGTTCCATCTAAGTTTGCAACATTTTTGCAAATGTGATTACTATATGTGAACCAACCTTCTCTTCAATGAAGTTATAACTTGAAATGTAACACTATTCCTCCAAAAGTTCATATCATCACACATGGTTCAATTTAATTAGAAAGAGAGTATTATTTTTAGTTGTATCTATTTTCGACATATTTTTCCACTTCAATATTGTTTTAGGTTACATTTTTTTCAGTGATGTAACTGTATTCGCTCGAAAATAATATTACCTATATCAAATGTTTCCAGATTTGTTTGATTTTAATTTGTGATGATAAATAATACTGATGATTTACCAACAAGGTTGAAAAATTAAGAATGAAGGCGATATATTTCACGCAACTATTGAGTGGGAAATAAGTAAATTCAAAAAAAACTGGTTGAATTTTTTCTCCAGATCAGTATGCAAGCATCACACCAAAATATTGTTCGATATAAGAGTTATCAAATTGGACAAAGAAAATCAATGTGTTGCATTTCATAAGATATCATACTTACGACCAGCAAGGGTTTGATAAAGCTTGGATTCCGAATACTAGAAGAAAACTAGACATCGTGAATATAAATCTCGAGCCCACCTATTCAAAAACACCTGGAGTCACAGAAGTGAATAAAAATGGATTGGTTTCTTTGATTCAAAAGAAGGAATGTGTGCTGATGTTTTACAATTTTTATAAAAATATGTAGAAGAAAACAATGGGTTCAGTTTCACTGATGAGTTTTGATGTTTCTCATTGTATTATTAAGATTATCAAGAATGTAGATTTTTTCAATGATGGAATATCAAGTTTCAAGCCCGTTTATTAACCAAGATTCAATTTTGTAACATTGACAATCATGAAGATATGGTGACAGTTTTGGATTCAAGAGAGATACATCAGTTAATTTCCCGATAGTTTTTCATTATCGAGAGCTGATACTATGTTGACCTCCAGAGGGTTAATGGATGATAGTTTGCTCGAAAAACAGTCAGTATCGACCATACGATTGAGAAGATGAAGTCAATTGAAATTTCAACCAATATCAAAATGGTTCTTCTGAAAAATCATGTTATTTTAGATGTAACTCTCTTCTTCCGGATGAACGACATGTGCATCGAAGTTAGCTGATACTTGTTTTTTTTTAAATTCAGATATAACACAAAGAACTTGATGACAAGAGTATGATTGAGAAAAATTCAATATTTATTGTCAAAGTCAGCACTGCTATTCAACACTTTGCCTCAGTGCAGATTCTCCATGAAATTCGAACAAAACTTATTCATTAAATCCCTGCTAAGTGGTTTAGTCAACATATCAGCCATATTCTCTTTTGTACTAACATAGGTTATATCCACTTCTTGTTCCAATATCTAGGGATGTCCATTATTATTATACATCTCACCAACTAACTGGATTTTCACTCAAAACGACAATGGTTTTGATATGAATTCCAAACTTCAACAATATTCTCAGATACCTCTCAGGATTTAGTTTCATTTAAAAACATTGGGAATCTCCCTGTTGTTCCTTCGATATCGAGAACAGTAATGTCCAAATACTGTCTGTAGGTTAATCAAGGAGATGGTACATTCATTTTTCCAGATTTTTTAGGATTTTCTCTTCGCGTTTTTATAAAATAAGAATATGAATATTATTTCAATATGCGTGTAGTAAGGACAAATCAGATGATTTGCCCCAAAATGTCACTGCGATTAAAGAATTTACCTATCAGAGTGCCTAAAAGACAAAATCACTAGCTTGTCAGTGACAATTTGTATTGAAAAAAGTTTGGAGAAGAGCACTAAAGATATATTGAAGAAATATTTTTACTCAGCTTTGGACTTTTCGGGAACGAATCTGCTCCCGTTTTCAACATAAAAAATTGTTTTTTTGTATCGCAAATTCGTATTTGTCTTGACACTTTTCAAAAAATGAAACAATCTTCATATCACTCAACCTCCAGGGTGAGGATTATTTGTGGCGAAAATGCTATTTTTCATACACTTCATAAGATAGCGTTTCGACTATATTTCATGTCCATGAATAAACGTGAATATAAAATTCGAAATGATCTGCGAGAATATATTATTTCCACATTATACCATAAAATATAATCCCAGTGAAATCTGACAGGACAATTTCACTGAAGCAAAAAATTCTTGGAGTTGTTTATAGCGGAAGTCTTTACAAAATTCCACCAGCGACATGACGTGAAAAGAATTAAACGAAAAAAAAAGTGATTGTCAAAACGGCATTTCACTGCAAGCAATACTGAACGTATACATTTCTATTCAAGAAGTTTGGCGATTCGTGTTCTTTCCAAACTTGAATTATTGCTATTCAAAATCATGGTATGTATACCGGGTGTAATTCAATTGATGGATGAAAATAAGCTTTCGTGACTGTTCTATCTACACTGTGTCCGTAAAGTATGGAACAAATTCGATATTTCCTAAACTAAAAGCCTTTTCAAAAATATCTGAAACACGTCAATTTTTGATTTTGATGTTCCACATTTCAACACTAAATTTCATTTTACAGTTTTACATACTACATTGAGGTGATGACGGCATCGGCAATTTTATCAAATGTAACATCCTCTATTTTTTGACCCCAAGTATAATACCTTTTTGGAATCAGCTCAATTTCACTGATCTAAAAATGTCACAAAATATGGGGTGTTACATAGAAAAAAAATTGTCGATGGCGTCCTCACCTTTGTGCACCACACTGTTGAATGAGATTTTGTGGTAAAATGTAAATCAAAAATTGACGTATTTCTGATTTTCTTGAAAAGGCTTTCAGTTTAGGAAATATCGAATTTGTTCCATACTTCAAGGACACAGTATAATACTGATTTTTTAAATTTGTTTTTTAATCGCTTGCAGCGCACGAAAGGGAATCCCTATAATGTTCAAAGAACATCGTGCGTTCCTAGGAAGGATAGGGATAGGAGGTAGGTATTGGAATTTTTTTTGAACTTCTGGAGATTATATGTTGTTGGGAACACTTCCACAGGGAATGAATGGGCTTATATCACAAAAAAAAAATTATTTCATAATTCGATAGAACTCACCCAAACTAGCTCACCACCGCAAACCATTTCTTGCTGCGAGCTCCCTACGTTTTATAAAAAATTATTGGAATCCCCGATTTTTCGGACCTCTGAAAACGAGGCGATGTTGTGACGTCAAAACCCTAATACTGAAAGAAGACTATTCCAGACAGAGATGAATGATACATGATTTCTGACAGAGAGAATTATTAGCGCGAGATCACAGTTGAAAGAATTAATATATCAGTTGCCTCAGTCTTCGTCGGGCGTTTGGTATTTTCTTTTAACTATATGGCGAGATGAGGTTTCTACGTCATAAGAGGGTCCGTTTTCAGAAGGTACTATTATTTATGTCTAAAAATAAAACATTGCAGTTAATTTTTCGATCGAATTATGTCGTCAATCATTATTTATTTATAAAAGGATCATTATAAACATGGTTTGAGTTAAAAGTTCTACTAAGGTGTACACGCCCATTCCAGAGCCTAGCCGTTCTATGGATGAAGGAGTCTTGATTGTTTGTTTGTTTGTTTGTATTGAATAGGCTCCGAATCTACTGGATTGATTTGGCTGAAAATTGGTGGAGAGGTAGCTTAGAACCAGGAGAAGGTTATAGAATACTTATTATCCCGCGGTACCATCAGGAAATTCAAGATGGCGGATCTAATATATCGGACGAGTTTTGTAATTATGGTCGCCGATTCTATTCAAAATTGGTATCTAGGGGTTTTCGGGGTCGAAGATTATGATTCTTTCGTCATAGCTACAAATCGTACCTTGGAAGGAATCTTGCATTTCTGTCCCTTGATGTATAATGATGTTTCATTTGAAATACCGTTTGGAGAAAACAATTATATGTTTCACAAGGCAGCAAATGTGGATTGACTCGCTAGGTTCGGCTATGAACTATCAGCCGCAGCAGTCGATTTGGTAAAACTGCATTTAGTATGCGATGTGTTTTTTTTCGAAAATTTTTTTTGGTACTTACGTATTTTTGTCTGAAGAACACGAATTTGATAATGAAAATGTGAACAAATCATTATTTATTGAAATATTTCACTATAAAGTTACGAATTTCACCTTCTTTTTTGCCTGTCTTCTGTATTGAATTTGAAACAATTTACCTACCCTTCTTTTTTCATCATTGGACAATTTATGTATATCACAATATGAGACACATCTTTTTCTATTATTGAGTCAACTAGAGATATGATTTTCTTGTGATTTATCCATATTTAGTGAAAAGAAGGAAGAATATCATTTGAAATAATGGCGTGTGTAATGTCATTCGAAAGCACTCTGTTAACTCAGGGTTGGGCTGATTTAAATCAATTGATTTAAATCAAGATAAAAATCATGATTTGAATCAAGTGATTTTTTTTTATAATCACAATTTAAATCAAAACAATAATTTCGAGAACATTTATTATTTATTTGAATAATAAAAAATATTGAACTGAAATAAAATAGAAAAACGCCTAAAAAAACTGGATATTGAAACATATACAGGCTACAGGAATTTTCTTGTACAGACATGTCGGTCGACCCACATCGTCCTACTGAGAATGGCTTTCTTTGTGAATTATATTTTGTTTTAATTTTATAATACTCAAATTCATGCAATACACAAAATTAAAATAGTTTTGAGGTAAAAAATGGACATGAATGTTGACAGGTACCTATATTTATCGCGCATTAAGACCAAAATAAAAAAAAAATAAAAAAAATCTGAAAAATCCAAAAAATCATGATTTTTTTATTTAAATCAATGATTTTTGATTTTTTTTTTTTAAATCAAGATTTGCCCAACCCTGGTTGACATTTGACATCTCGTATTTGGATTAACTATTAATTAAATGGCCGTCATCTGGTATGCTTGTTTACTGAATATGAAAACTCGCCATAAAAATCATATTTCCTGTTGAATTCTCTGTATAAAAATGTGTCATAGAAGTACATCATGAGTATATAAAGTGTCCTATGACAAAAAAAGAAGAGCAAGTACCTGTAAATATATCCAAGACAGGGGGAAAAAGGTGTCGAAATTTCGAACTTTTTCTTGAAATATCTCGATAAATAGTGGTTTGTTCACATTATCCTTGTCAAATTCGTGTTTTTCAGACAAAAATACGTAAGTACCAAAAAAAAATGTTTCGAAAATAAAAACCCATCGCATGCTAAATGCAGTTTTACCGTCGATTTACTACTTTGCTCCTAGTAAACCAAATAACTATTCTCAAAATGAGCTTAGGAACCAATCAGACGAACTAGACAAGCCCAGTCAGCACATCCTTTCGTTGTCAACCTCGAAAGATGTCGAACAGCACTTTATCAAGACTCCTTCATCCATATATAGAACGGCTAGGCTCTGGAATTCATTGCCTGTGGAAGTATTCCCAACAACATATAATCTCCAAAAGTTCAAAAAAAATTCCAATACCTACCTCCTGTCCCTATCCTCCCCAGGAACGCACGATGTTCTTTGAACATTATAGGGATTCCCTTTCGTGCGCTCCAAGCGATAAAAAAAATTACCTTTATATTTAGCCATCAATTGAATTACACCCTTTATAATAAGGCATTTAGACGACGCGAGCTTATGATGTTTTAAAGAGGTGAATTGTTACTGAGGATGTCTTATACGAATATTCCGAAGTCACATTATTTCCAGTGAACTAACTTCTTGCGAGAGGGTATCATAAGACCCATATAAGTAAGAAATTCTAATTATTTCGAAGAAAGTAATAAGCTGTCAAGACGAAGCTACTTCAGTCGCATTACATTTCCAACTTTACGTAGACAATGAAAATCTTCTCGGATGTCAGCACTGGGTTATTAGGCAGCAACATGCTTTTCCAATGGTTTCCCGAACATTTTCCATAAACAGGATATTCGAGAGAGTGCCATCTGTTGAAAGTCATTAGCAGTAAATGTTCGACTTCTTCCAGGATTCTCGCTGGGGTACTTCTGGCAAACGAGTATGAGTTTTTTCTTTCTCATATTGACGCAGAAACATTCACATAATTACGTCGTTTCAGAAACTCAAATCATAATGAATATTTTAACGACGTATACAGGGTGATCCACGGTGGATGGCCTATTAGAAGTATCTGGAGAACGAAAAGACAGGACATGCTTTGATAATTGAAGATTCTCTATCCGCCTAGAATATTTTCATCGATACAGTGTTGCCACTTCTCTCAGAAACAACTAGCAACTTCGTTATTTTAAATGAAGCACCCTGTATTTTATTGCATATTTAGATTCTTCCTGAAGATCTGATTTCATCAATGTATCACACTTGGGGTCGAGCAGGAATGATTACAGAGATATAGGGTGTTCAAAATCGAGATTTTTCAATTTTGGGAATTTTTTGTGTCGAAACTATTCATTATCGATCAAAACGGCTCACATGTCCCTATCTTAACTTTCGATTCACTATCTACTGACATTCAATGGGATCAGATACAGGGTGATCATAATTCTGAATCTTGAAGCACCCTGTATTTTTTCCAATTAAATTCAAGTAGATGGTGAATCAAAAGTCAAGATAGGGACATGTAAGCCATTTTGATCGACAATGAATATTTTCGACACGAAAAAATCCTAAAATTGAAAAATCTCTATTTTAAACAACCTATATCTCTGTTATCATTCCTGCTAGACCCCAAGTGTGATGCATTGATGAAATCAGCTCTTCCGGAAGAATCTGAAAATGCAATGAAATACAGGGTGTTCCTTTCGAAATAACAAAGTTGCAATACTTGTTTCTGATAGAGCTGGCAACACTGTATCGATGAAAATATTTTAGATGGATAGAGAATAGATACTTCTAATAGGTCATCCACCGTGGATCACCCTGTATACCGACTCAATAAGTAATGTTTCCTAATCGACTGCCAATATTTGAGGAAGCGATTTTTGAACCTAAACGTCTCAACTTTTGAGATACAGGTTTTTAATGAAATATGTAATACTACATTAGATATTCTGATGAAATTTGGCATACACGTACTACTTACGCCAATTGGCGGAGATATTTGAAGCGCTCCCGCCATATTTTAAAATTTCTGAAGTCGATCGCGTTCACAATACAGGGTGTTTCATAATTGGATGTCAATATTTGGTGAGGCGGTTCTCGGGCTCATTCTAAGGATAAAGTTTCATATAATCGTATGACCTAAACGTCCTAACTTTTGAGATACAGGGTGGTAAATTTGGCATACATGTACTATGAATCAAGAGGCATCAGTTAGAGTACCATTTTTTTTGTTGCCACCAGTGGCGTTCGTATAAAAATTCACATACCGATTTTCCACTGTTTAATCACGAAATTGAAAGCATTCCTGAAATTCTCAAACATTCCTAAGCAAATTTGATATTTGACATTTTTTTAATCCGCGATGCACGGTTCTCGTTTGAAAAATTGAGAACCTTTTCACTGCATGATCATAACGATATCGGTTATAATATGACAATATCACAATGTAGAGAAATATATTTAATTTTTTAGGTGAAAACCGTGATTCAGACTGAAACAATTCAAGATATCAAATCAAGTGGTATTACATACTTATCATATCACTTTTTACCCGTGGGCAAATAGTATATTATGTAACAAGTGTTATAAACGTCCATTTAGTAACGAGTATTTTAAGCACGAGCGGAGCAGAGCGGAGCGAGTGTTCAATAAACGAGTGTCTAGAAGAGTTTATAAACGCGTTACATACTATGCTTTTTCTACGAACTCCGAAAATTACATTGACATACCTGCTATTCCTGCTAACCTACAAAATAATTCGAAAGGAATGGGAATTGAGAACATAATACATGCAACTGCATGCAACCAGCGAGACACGTATAAGTGATATTGGTTGTAGATGTGTCCAGTCCATTGCTTACTAACCTTTGTTTCACGTTTATTGTCATGCTTAGCGCAGAATGAATAAATTGTTCTCAAAGATGGATGCTTCATTTTTACACTCCTTGGAGATATGCAAGTACCAGAACATTCTCTTCGATTTCACTTTCGTCTACTTTTCGCATATATTTTCAATGAAGAATTCTGATACAAACGAATATTGTTTGAATAATTCTGATACAAAATTTGAAAATAACAGTTGACAGTTGATACAATTGACAGGCCAGACATGTCTCAAATTACTGAAGCTGTGTTAAATGAACTGTGTTGCCATGGTAATGTGTTTAAGAAATCGTGTTGCCATGGTAACGTGTTTAATATTTTGAATTAATCACGGATCGACGATATGTGATTAATCGATCTTTAGCGTGGTACATATCCGTACGCTAAATGCCATTTTAGTTATGTGAGTAGAAAAAGTAATTCATTATAGTGGAGTAGACTGTATGAATTTTCGCCCTGTCCAATTATTATTCATGTGAAATTGATGGAAACCCGTTTCTCACAAGTCTCAATCTCCTCAGATTCTTGATTATAGGTTCACTTAATATTTTTAAAGCTTTCATTCTAAGCTTAGGCAAATGTGGTTCACGATTTGGAAATGTTCCCAATTTGTCCTATATATAGATATAGCTACTCTTGCTCAATTAATTTTTGTCATGAAAAAGAGGCGGAAAATGAAAAAGCAATTTTCCTTTATTTCGGTCCAGTATATCTGAAATTAATAATCCGTAAAATGTTGGGCTACCTTTACCTTTAGCAAAATAACTCCTTTGGAATGTATTTAGAGTAGAATCATAAAACGGTTCCCTAAATTGAAAATAAAAACAACGTTCTTGTGAAAAAAATATTACGACCGTAATGTAATCATTCTATCGAGCCATATGGAAGAAAAAATGTTGGAAACAAATTTCATAACCTTTTAAAACAATTTTCTGTGATATATTTCTTCATTTCATAGGTTCGTCGTCTCGAGTAATCTTTTGTTATGTTACAGGGTGAACTATCTGATATTCGGATTCAACCCGTTATGGTTCCATTTGACGAACATACTTTTGCACGCGATTGCTTGCATTCTGTTCACGCGAGTCACCCTGTACGTTGCGGGCCTCAAACCGAAGTTTGCGACCCTCTCAGGACTGCTGTTTGCCGTACACCCTGTACACACGGAGGCGGTAAGAGATTTTATTCATCAAACCATTTTTATTCTGAATAAAAACCTTTTGATGAGCAATATTCTCAGATGAAATTATGAACATGATAATTATACAGGGTCGCTGATATGTATGGAAACAGGTGAATATCTCGGTAACCTGTTGTTGGATTTTTTTGAATTTATGTACTGTGTGATTTCAAAACGTGGCAGATTTGAAAATGTTATAGCCAATGTTGCCACTTTTTCAGTTATACCGGATTTTTTATTAACTTCCTTATTTTGAATAGAACACCCTGTAGTTTATTGGATTTTCAGATTCTCCCTGAAGAGCTAATTCCATCGATCTATCACACTTGGGGTCTAGCAGGAATGAATACATAGGTATAGGGTGTTTAAAATCTAGATTTTTCAACTTTAGTATTTTTTTGTGTCGAAACTGTTCATCATCGATCAAAACCGCTCCAATGTTCCCATCTTTACTTCTGATTTACTATCTACTGACATTTAATTGAAACAAATACAGGGTGGTTCAAGATTCAGAATTCTGATCACCCTCTGTATCTGTTCCAATTAAATAGTCATTAGATGGTAAATCAAAAGTGAAGATAGGAACATTGAAGCGGTTTTGATCGATAATGGATAGTTTCTACACAAAAAAATCTTGAAGTTTAAAAATCTAGATTTTGAACATCCTGTACCTATGAAATCATTCCCACTAGACCCGAGTGTGATAGATCAATGGTATCAGCTCTTCAAGGAGAATCTGGAAATCCAATAAAGTACAGGGTGTTTCATTCAAAATAAGGAAGTTACTAAAAATCCGGAATAACTGAAAAAGTGGCAACAGAGGCTATAACATTTTCAAATCCGCCACGTTTTGAAATCACACTGTACATAAATTCAAAAAAATCTAACAACAGATTGCCGAGATATTCACCTGTTTCCATACATATCAGCGACCCTGTATATATATACAATGTCATTCATAAAGTCGGCATCATATGGGAAAAACTTTTATTAATGTCTTATTTTGGAATTCGAGTTGGACATTGAGTTTTGCTTCAAAAAAGATAAAAAATGGCCTACTTAATCGGGGTCACGTGACTTTCGCAACATGTCAAAAGTGACATTTTTTCAAATTAATCGCTGAAAGTAGGCTTATTTGTTCGAATATCGAAAAAGTGTACTTGAAAAAGTTGTTTCTATTTCAATTTTACACATGCTTCTCGAATTTGATCCTTCTATTGCCACTTTTAGATTTTCATTTTTTTTAATTTTTCAAAATTTCTGTAATATTTGAAGAATTGTTAATTCCACGAAACTACTTCATACCAGTAGCTTTTTCATGCTACTTACTTCCAATTACTTATTATCACTGATTATGGACAGAAATATGATTTTCTTCAGAAAATGATAATACCCGCTTCCAAATTCTGTTATGTTTGATGCAAAGTTGATATATCGTCAAGCATTTAGAAACGAAATTCATTTAAACTGATCTTTTCAGTACTGAAAAAATGAATTCGAATGGATTTCGTTTCTAAATGCTTGACTCAAACATAACAGCATTTTGATGTTATGTTTGCATCAAACATAACAGAATTTTGAAGCGGACATTATCATTTTCTGAAGAAAATCATATTTTTGTCGATAATTAGTGATCATTAGTAATTGGAAGTTAGTAGCATGATGAAACTACTGGTATGAAGTAGTTTTATCGAATTTACAATTTTTCTAATATTACAGAAATTTGGAAAATTATTAAAAAATATCGAAATCTAAAAATGGATCAGAAAGATGAAATCCGAGTCACATTTGTAAAATTGAAGTAGAAACAACTTTTTCAAGTAAACTTTTTCGATTTTCGAACAAAATAGGCCTACTTTCAGCGATTAATTTGAAAAAATGTAACTTTTCACATGTAGCGAAAGTCACGTGACCCCGATTCAGTAGGCCATTTTTCATCTTTTTTGAAGCAAAACTTGACGTCCAACTCGAATTTCAAAATGAGTCATTAATAAAAGTGTTTCCCATAATGATGCTGACTTTATGAATGACACTGTATACAGGGTGATTCATTAAGAATGGGGCATCTTTGAAATACAGATAGTGAACACAAAAATAATGAGATTCAGCCCAATATGCCTGATGAGAATGTTGCTGGTTTAGGAGATACAGGGTGTTCTAGGCCGAGATTTTATTTCAAAATTTCACAATAACTTTGTTAGTTTTAACAGCATGAACTTGAAATCTTGTATTTCTAGGTTTTCTGACATGAGGAATATGAATTTGCAACTCATTTTGTGATTGCTCAAAGAGGGCGCTAGTGGCGATCTGTTACTTCGATGATTTACATCATATCTTCTATGTCAATTCATTGATGATCAGAATAAGTGGAAAATCTGTAAGCTCGTTCAATTCCACATGAAAAATGTACTCCTTATCAAATTGTCTAACTTCGAAGGTTTTTGTGTTATTCGCTGTTGAAGATTTATGCACAAATTATAACATTTTAATTATTTTATTCATCAAATGAGGAATTGGAAATCCCTGAACTACAGATAGTGAACACCGAAATATAAAGATTTAGCCCAACATGCCTCATAAAAATATTGCTGGTTTAAGAGATACAGGGTGGTTAAGGAGGAGATAATTTGAAATAAAATCTTCTCCTTAAGCAATACCAGCAATATTTTTATGAGACATGATGGGCTGAATCTTCATATTTGGGTGTTTACTATCTGTAGTTCAGAGATTTCCCATTCTCAATGAATCACCCTGTATATTGAGAAATACATTGAGAATTCACAGTTTGGATGTTCAACAGATATAATGTGGTATTTGTCAAATTGCATATCTATACAGTGTGTCATACTTCTGAAGGAAACACCTCTGTATCGTATCTTACGTATTCGTTGGGTGAGGATTCTGAAATTTGCTGGAGCGAGAGATATACCAAAAATATACTCTATGACAAGTGGGGTCATCTTCAGTGATATAAACTGCTCGCCAACAGCAATGGAACCACCCCAATTTCCGGAAAATAACATCAGGAGGCGAAATTGGTTCAAAATCACTCACTTATCATATTTTTCTTGAAAAAAATTTCAGTTTCGAAAATCTCATTTTTGTCTCAGTGATCACGTAATGATCGAGTTAGGATTGTTAAATTACCAGGAGCAAGAAATGTTCCGAAGATACAGTCAATGACCGATTGGAATTACCGTCAGTGATATACACTGCTCGCTAGCAGCCATGACACCACCTACATGTTCGGAAAATCATATTAGCCGACTTCTAGACTTCTACATAGATAATTACATAAGATATTGGGGTGTTTCCATGAAAAGTGAGACAGAATATATCATTTCAGAACTGGAAATATTTCAGAAGGGATATGAGTCCGTATAGTTAATTAGACGTTCTGTTTTCTGTTCCCGAATTTGCAGTGATTTTCAACCTATCTTGTCTCTTGATATTATTTTCCGCGGACATATGTGTTGTTCCACGGCTGTTGGCGAGCAGTGTATATCACTGAAGATGGCCCCACTTGGTAATGAAGTACATTTTTGATATGTCTCTCGCTCCAGCAGATTTCAGGATCCTAACATAACGATTACGTAATATACGGGGGTGTTTCCATTAGAAGTGAGAAACACTGTATATATACAGTGTGTCCACCTTAAGGACTTACCACCCCTGTAAAATCGTTATTATCCGACCAATTTCAAAAAACCATTTTTTTGTTGGATAGGTATTTGAAATGCCCATCCAACGAGAGAGTGATCTAATTCTTGGACTGTTATCGTGGCCAACTGCGACAAATTTCAATGACCCATATTCCAGAAAGTACTATTAGGGATTTTTTTCCACGAAACTTGATGATGGATTCTGAATCAGTACCACTTGAAATATACCTGTACCGATTTTCATCATCATAAAACACAGGGTGTCCGAAAAACCGAATCATATACCGATTCAGTCATCACGAAAAGCTATACAGGGTGGACAATAAAAAATCTATGCATATTTTCAACATTGACACCCTGTATCTCAAAAGTTAGAACGTTTACGACATACGTTCATATGAAGTTTTATTCTTGAAATGGGTCGAAGAATCGGCCCCTTGAATATTGGCATATCATTAAGGAACACCCTGTATATTCAACGTGTGGATTTACACAAGAATTATCAAAAACATGACAGTAGCTTTTTCAAGTAAATAATTTTATGGAGTATCCACACCCCTCGTGTAAGCTTATCGGAATCCCAGGATATTCCTCAAAACCACGAAATAATATATCCGATTCTCGCGCCGAATGGTTCACTCGAGAGAGGGCAACCGAACTTTTATCAATGTTTTACGACGGAGAGTTAGTCCTGGCCAAAATTTATAGCCCTAGGTTATACTTTGTGATTTAACGTTCACTCTCTTTGTGGATTTGTGTGTGTGTGGCACTGTATAAGTGAAAATATTATAAAGAGGAAAGATTCCTTCTGGTTGTTATCATCTTTTCCAATGATTTTAATATTATTCTACTCTGCCATATGTTGTCCATCTTCTTTACACCTCAACAGCTTCTCATGATATACAAAGCGCAGATACGGCCTGTTCTAGAATACTGTTCCCACATATGGGGTTCAGCACCAAAACATACGGCGCTGATGCTCTTAGATTCCATCCAGAGAAGAGCCATCCGCCTGGTGGATGACGCCACACTCACTCACTCTTTGACATCATTGGAACACCGTAGAAAGGTCGGCGACCTTTCACTTTTCTATCGATACTTCCACGGGAAATGTTCTTCGGAAATCTCTGCTATCATCCCTTCACTAGCAATACCAGTCAGACGAACTAGACAAGCCCAGTTAGCACATCCTCTCGTTGTCAACCTCGAAAGATGTCGAACAGCACTTTATCAAAACTCCTTCATCCATAGAACGGCTAGGCTCTGGAATTCATTGCCTGAAGAAGTATTGCCAACAACATATAATCTCCAGAAGTTCAAAAAAAAAATTCCAATACCTACCTCCTCCTCTATCCTCCCTAGGAACGCACGATGTTCTTTGAACATTATAGGGATTTCCTTTCGTGCGCTACAAGCGATAAAAAAAGATATGTTCAGCTAGTTTCGATTTGCCGATGTGTCTTTTCTTTATATTGTACTCATGTTCCTTCGTCCTCACTGAGAGAGGTCTATTGGTTTCACCTGTATAAAACTTTCCACAAACACAAGGTATACTGTAAATACCAGTTTATAATAGTAGCAAACAAATATGTTCTGCAACTGCAACAAATCAGTTATTTTTTTCAAATGGGTACATCAACCATTGCGAAGCCATGCCGGACAGCTAATTTAGGAATAAAATAATGGAACAAAAACAATATTCAATGATAAATTCAATGATTAACGCATAATAGTTACGTATTTCAAGACGTTTTATTTCTTCGTCAATTCCTAAGAAATATCTATTACCTATGATTCTAGGAAGAAATTATGGGTGATTATGATGAGGCGTTTCATGATTGTCAGTAGTAGTGATAAATTTTTAATTTTTCAGGTCACTGGAATAGTTGGTAGAGCCGATGTATTGGCATGTGTCTTCTTTCTTACATCAATCCTGGCTTATCATGGGTAAGTGATTCAACCCTTTCATTTCAAATTATATAATAATAATATTAATGATGATAATACATTTATTATTCCCCAAAAGCATGACAAGTATAAGCTCGTAGATCTTTGGTAGAACTCCAAAGTGAAGTGAAATATTTCACAGGAAGGAAGGAATGCTCGAAGTCATCTTCACAAATTTTAATGATGTTGTTATTGATATTATAAGGGACAAGTTTCGGTCTTGTAAAAGACCATCTTCAGCCTAATTGAGAGGTTTGGATTTGAGAACATTCTTTGATGCTACTGTTTCTTGAATTGTTGTGTCAATGCCCATAGCCAAGAATTCAAATGTTAGTCAAAAAACGGGTACCCAATATATGAAGGGCCCCGTGCTCTGAAAACGCATACTATTGTTTTTCCTTGAACATTTCATATATCAGAATGGTATATGAAGGGTATTGACAAAAAGTTGTGATTTTTGACAACACCATAAATTGACGCCGAGTTTTTTGAAACAGGGGTTCCCCGTGCCCTTATGAAAGCGCTACTTAGAGAAAAATATCAATAAAATTGATAGGGCAGACAACCAGCAAGTGTTCTAAACTAATTTAGATTTAAAGGAAGGAAGCATTTTCATTTCATAACTGCTGTTGACATGAACATTTCATCACTAGTTATGTAATTTTTAACTTTACGCAACTGGTTAATTAAAAGGAGACATTCCAAAACTTTTGTCAGTTTTGAAAAGTGTCAAATTATACATGTCAAAATCACAAAAACTTATATTATCTGAAATTTTCATGATTGAGATTGAGGAACTCATGAAATTGAAAAGAACGCTCGTGTTGATCATTATTTCTCGAGACTTGGCAACGCAATTAAAAAGAGATGAGATATTCGGTATAGGGATGCTCGAAATGCGGACATTCCCTTGGCTCGCATCATTTATATTTCCCAGTCAGTATATTTTCCTGATGGTGCGAGCATCACCTCATGGGAAATACGTTCGAAACATCGCCGCGATGTCGAAAAGAACATACTCTTATATCAGCCCGTCTCATTCTGTTCTACAGCTGCTTAGTTAGCTGAATAAAATATCAGCTGCAGCCTCTTATCCTGAATTATTACATTTCCTCCTGTGTGAAATAATGAATTCTCTTTCAGTTCTGGCGAAAGTAAACACTACACCTGGTTGAGCACTATTTCCGGAGGGCTCAGTATGTTAGCCAAAGAAACTGGTGTCACAGTATTCCTGCTGAATTTGGTTCACGACTTTTACTTACATTGGCCAAGCCTGAAGAGGTATGTGTCAATGAATTAATGAACATTGACTTGGTTAACTTCTGATGGAAATTCACATTTCAGGACTCTGTCTGAGATGAGATGGAATAGAGAGTCAATACAAGTTGCTCGAAGATCCTCTAGAATTTTGACATCGGTGAGCGAAATATCTTGCATCCAACTGGGCACTAAGTGTTCACTCTAATTCAATAATTATCATTTTTTAGCTCGGAGTATTACTAGCCTTACGACTAGCGATTCTCCAAGGCTCTCTACCAAAATTTTCCCAACAAGATAACCCAGCAGCTTTTCATCCATCTATACACGTGAGGTACCTACATAATATTATTCATTCTGTGACGAGAAAAAAGATTGACATTTCATCCCTGTTGACAGGTTATAAAATATCACTTTTCATTAATTACTTTTTTCCAAAAGGAAAACATTGAGTATTTTTTCCCAGATATACAGTGTGTTCCTTAAAGACATGCTAATATTTGTGGAGGTGATTTTTTGACTCATTTCAGGAATAAAACTTCATATGAACGTATGTCCTAAAAGTCTTTACTTTTGAGATAAACAGGGTGATGAAGTTTTGAGAAATATTCAATTTCTTGATAATAACTAAGAATATATTGTATACATCTTCATGTTTGGTATTTTACTCAAAAGTGTGCAACGACGGAAAATTTTCAAATTTCGTACAATGTTATAAAAGGCTATTCAATTATGTACAAAAAAGATGTACTTGTTGATGCTCAATAGGGCGTTTCGTTCTAGAGAAAAAACAAAAGAACCAGACCAGACTTCAAATTTGGGTACTCCATTCAGGGCATCCATTACTGGATAACCTTGAATATTAGCATATCATTAAGGAACATCCTGTATATAAACTGTCGATGGTTTTTCTTGCGCTAGTTCCGTAAAATAAGCCAATAACTGCTAGTTATCTGAATCTGAGCATAACTAAAGAACTCGTTCGCCATATTGGATTCGTAATTCCGAATTTTCTAGTTCTGACGAAGGAATCATAATGTACCTACGACCCAGGAAACCCCATTGATATCAATTTTGAATAGAACGTGACCATAATTACGAATGTCGTGCGCCATATTGGATCCGCCATCTTGAATATCAAAAATTTTGACGAAAGAATCATAATATCCGACCGCGAAAATCTCCAGATACCAATTTGGAATAGAATCGGATCATATTTACAAAACTCGTCCGCCATATTGAATCCGCCATCTTGAATTTCTAAATTTTGATGAAAAAATCATAATCTCGGACCCCAAAAACCCCAGATACAAGTTTTGAATAAAATCTGATCATAATTATAAAAAAATCCTTCGCCATATTGGATATGCTATCTTGAATTTTGAATTTTAAAAAAAGCTTACGACCGATTCTCAAACCTACTGAATACGAACAAATATTTTTATACGAATCGATCGAGCCCCTAACACCGTGACTGGGACAGGAAAATTTTATTTATCAGGTTTATATTTCAAGATATTCTATCTTCAGTATTTTTGATGCGTTGTGATTGAATGTCAATTGAGATTAAATGTCAAACAACTCAAACAGGTATCTAGAACCAAAGATCACTTGATTATACCCAAGAACGTGTTTCTATAGGCCAAAAATTCGATTCATAATGAAAAGTATGTTTCATAATAAAAATCCGTGTTGAAAAGAACATATTAATGATTCGGTAGCAAATAATTAATTCTCATATCATTAACACGGGAGTAGAAAATAGTTATTTATTATACAAGGGAAAAAAGTAGTAGATATTAGCTCCAGGATGTGTGAGTTGAAATCTAATATTTTTCCCGCGTGTATAATACACTATTTTTTTCTGTGACAGAAGAAAGGACGAATCAATATTGAGAAGATATTACATTATTTTGAAATCTGAAAATTATCGACGTGAAATTTTAAGTTTTTAACAGTAGGGACACCTGCGTTGTAGGCATCTCTATCATTCTTTTGAAGTAATCAAATATCTGATGTCACTTCTGTCAGTCTGATTCTGTGATATGATTTCGAAAAATTGCGAATTTAGTGGTTGTTTAGTAATATACGTAACCGCAAAGTCGAATGGAAGATAAAAGGACTTGCAGTTCTTTCTCGAAGACGGTATTATTGACTCAATTTTCGGTACTATAGCACAACAAAAGCCATCAACAGTGTATATATATGTGATATATATCCGGGTAAAAAGTAATCACTTTTTTCCTACGGGAAAAAAGTAATTTATGAAAAGTGACATTTTATAACCTGCCAACAGAGATGAAATGCCAAACTTTTTTTACGTCACAGAAAAATGGAATGTTATTGACCAAAATTGATCACGATAGTTGGTTGCTCCAATGTTCCTGATTTATGTTGCAGATTTCTCACGTTTTGTTATTTGGCTGCCTTCAACTGGTGGCTGCTCATTTGTCCATCTACCCTTTCCCACGATTGGCAAATGGGATCGATTCCCTTGGTCACTTCTGTGAACGATTCCAGAAATGCACTGACCGTATTTTGCTTCGCCATTCTGTTTTTATTGACTCTCAAGAGTCTATCAGACTTCGAGGTTAGTTAATAGGAATCGGCCTATCATACAGTGTGTTACAATTTGCTCCATGCCTTGTACTTCCATTCATATTCATTTTAAGTGTCCCCCTTGAAAATAATCTCGATTTTTTATATTATTTACTAGAAGGAAGATATTGAGGGTGGGAAAGTTTTCAAAATATAACCTTGTGTGTATGGATATACAGTGTCATTCATAAAGTCGGCATCATATGGGAAAAACTTTTATTATTGACTTATTTTGGAATTCGAGTTGGACATTAAGTTTTGCTTCAAAAAAGTTACAAAATGGCCTACTCAATCGGGGTCACGAGACTTTCGCTACATGTCCAAAGTGAATTTTTTTCAAATTAATCGCTGAAAGTAGGCTTATTTGTTCGAATATCGAAAAAAGTTTACTTGAAAAAGTTGTTTCTATATCAATTTTACACATGCTTCCCGAATTTGATCTTTCTATTGCAACTTTAAGATTTTGATTTTTTTTTTCAATTTTCCGAAATTTCTGTAATATTTGAAGAATTGTTAATTCCACGAAACTACTTCATACCAGTAGCTTTTTCATGCTACTTACTTTCAATTACTTATAATCACTGATTATGGACAGAAATATGATTTTCTTCAGAAAATGATAATACCCGCTTCCAAATTCTGTTATGTTTGATGCAAAGTTGATATATCGTCAAGCATTTAGAAACGAAATTCATTTGAACTGATCTTTTTAGTACTGAAAAATTAAATTTAAATGAATTTCGTTTCTGAATGCTTGACTCAAACATAACAGAATTTTGAAGAGGAGATTATCATTTTCTGAAGAAAATCATGTTTTTGTTGATAGTTAGTGATAATTAGTAATTGAAAGTTAGTAACATGATGAAGCTACTGGTATGAAGTAGTTTCATCAAATTTACAATTTTCTTAATATAACAGAAATTTCGAAAATATTTAAAAAATATCGAAATCTAAAAAATGTAATAGAAAGATGAAATCCGAGTCACATATATAAAATTGAAATAGAAACAACTTTTTCAAGTAAACTTTTTGTTATTCGAACAAATAAGCCTACTTTCAGCGATTAATTTTAAGAAATGTCACTTTTGACATGTAGCGAAAGTCACGTGACCCCGATTGAGTAGGCCATTTTTCATCTTTTTCGAAGCAAAACTTGACGTCCAACTCGAATTTCAAAATGAGTCATTAATAAAAGTTTTTCCCATATGATGCCGACTTTATGAATGACACTGTATACTTGAACTAAATGTTGTTTTCAGGATCAAAAACATACCCCGGTTGTTTTGGGGCTATGTCTTCTAGTGCTTCCCTTTTTACCAGCCACGAATTTATTTGTTACTGTGGGATTCGTTGTGGCTGAGAGAGTGTTGTACATTCCGAGGTGAGTTTGGATCGCAAAATAATATTTTTTTGTTCAGGTAATTATTGTTGTTTTTCTTCAGTCTCGGTTACATTCTTCTAGTTGCATATGGAATCCAATTATTGTGGGAAAACCAAATAGCTCATCGCCAAACGCTGTTGACGTTCACCATCCTGTTGTTGGTATCAGGCTGTCTCAGGAGTTTAGCTAGGAATAGGGACTGGAGGTCCAGAGAGACCTTATTGAGGTGAAAAATCTGTTTTCCGACGACCTACTTGAAATACGTATTATTTCGCATTATTTGTCCTATGGGGCCGATTATAGTCTCATTCGAATCAGCGTGTCATTTTCTACTGCAAAAGTGATAATTCGTGAGGATTTCCGCCGTTTTCTGGCACTTTCGGCCGTCCGAAGATGGCTAGGTGACTATATCGTACTGAAGTCTTAGGTGTGAAAATGAAAATTTTTATTTGGCCTATTGAAAATCTGAAAAAATTCACATAGACTAACTCAATGTCGAAATGAACGAATCCGTGGTGGAAATCGGGTAATTCTGAAAAATAGAGACGAAGTAGCCTACCGGAGTGCTTCTATTGGCAATAAAAGCGAAAAGTTGACTTTGAGCGTCGATATATCGAAAACTATCTGTCCTATCGGGCTGATTATGGTCTCATTGGATTCAGCGTGTCATTTTCTACTGGAAAAGCGATAATTCGCGTGGATTTTTGCTGTTTTCTGGCACTTTCGGCCGTCCGAAGATGGCTCGGTGACTTTATCGTATGGAGGTCTTAGGTGAGAAAATGAAAATTTTTATTTGGTCTATTAAAAATCTGAAAAAAATCACATAGACTAATTCAATGTCGAGATGAACGAATCCGTGGTGGAAATCGGGTAATTTTGAAAAATAGAGGCGTAGTAGCCTACCGGAGTGCTTCTATTGGCAATAAAAGCGAAAAGTTGACTTTGAGCGTCGATATCTCAAAAACTATCTGTCCTTTCGGGTTGATTATGGTCTCATTCGATTCAGCGTGTCATTTTCTACTGTAATTGCGATAATTCGCGTGGATTTTCGCCGTTTTCAGGCACTTTCGGCCGTCCGGAGTTGGCTCGGTGACTTTACCGTATGGAAGTCTTAGGTGAGAAAATGAAAATTTTTATTTGGCCTATTAAAAATCTGAAAAAATTCACATAGACTAATTCAATGTCGAAATGAACGAATCCGTGGTGGAAATCGGGTTATTCTGAAAAATAGAGACGAAGTAGCCTACCGGAGTGCTTCTATTGGCAATAAAAGCGAAAAGTTGACTTTGAGCGTCGATATATCGAAAACTATCTGTCCTATCGGGCTGATTATGGTCTCATTGGATTCAGCGTGTCATTTTCTACTGGAAAAGCGATAATTCGCGTGGATTTTTGCTGTTTTCTGGCACTTTCGGCCGTCCGAAGATGGCTCGGTGACTTTATCGTATGGAGGTCTTAGGTGAGAAAATGAAAATTTTTATTTGGTCTATTAAAAATCTGAAAAAAATCACATAGACTAATTCAATGTCGAGATGAACGAATCCGTGGTGGAAATCGGGTAATTTTGAAAAATAGAGGCGTAGTAGCCTACCGGAGTGCTTCTATTGGCAATAAAAGCGAAAAGTTGACTTTGAGCGTCGATATCTCAAAAACTATCTGTCCTATCGGGTTGATAAAGGTCTCATTCGATTCAGCGTGTCATTTTCTACTAGAAAAGCGATAATTCGCGTGGATTTTCGTCGTTTTCTGGCACTTTCGGCCGTCCAAAGATGGCTCGGTGACTTTACCGTATGGAAGTCTTAGGTGAGAAAATGAAAATTTTTATTTGGCCTATTAAAAATCTGAAAAAATTCACATAGACTAATTCAATGTCGAAATGAACGAATCCGTGGTGGAAATCGGGTTATTCTGAGAAATAGAGACGAAGAAGCCTACCGGAGTGCTTCTATTGGCAATAAAAGCGAAAAGTTGACTTTGAGCGTCGATATCTCAAAAACTATCTGTCCTATCGGGCTGATTATAGTCTCATTCGATTCAGCGTGTCATTTTCTGCTAGAATAGCGATAATTCGCGTGGATTTTCACCGTTTTCTGGCACTTTCGGCCGTCCGACGATGGCTCGGTGACTTTACCGTATGGAAGTCTTAGGTGAGAAAATGAAAATTTTTATTTGGCCTATTAAAAATCTGAAAAAATTCACATAGACTAATTCAATGTCAAAATGAACGAATCCGTGGTGGAAATCGGGTAATTCTGAAAAATAGAGACGAAGTAGCCTACCGGAGTGCTTCTATTGGCAATAAAAGCAAAAAGTTGACTTTGAGCGTCGATATCTCAAAAACTATCTGTCCTTTCGGGTTGATTATAGTCTCATCCGATTCAGCGTGTCATTTTCTACTAGAAAAGCGATGATTCGCCTGGATTTTCGTCGATATATCGAAAACTATCTGTCCTATCGGGCTGATTATGGTCTCATTGGATTCAGCGTGTCATTTTCTACTGGAAAAGCGATAATTCGCGTGGATTTTTGCTGTTTTCTGGCACTTTCGGCCGTCCGAAGATGGCTCGGTGACTTTATCGTATGGAGGTCTTAGGTGAGAAAATGAAAATTTTTATTTGGTCTATTAAAAATCTGAAAAAATTCACATAGACTAATTCAATGTCGAAATGAACGAATCCGTGGTGGAAATCGGGTAATTTTGAAAAATAGAGGCGTAGTAGCCTACCGGAGTGCTTCAATTGGCAATAAAAGCGAAAAGTTGACTTTGAGCGTCGATATCTCAAAAACTATCTGTCCTATCGGGCTGATTATGGTCTCATTCGATTCAGCGTGTCATTTTCTACTGGAAAAGCGATAATTCGCGTGGATTTTCGCCGTTTTCTGGCACTTTCGGCCGTCCGAAGATGGCTCGGTGACTTTATCGTATGGAAGTCTTAGGTGAGAAAATGAAAATTTTTATTTGGCCTATTAAAAATCTGAAAAAATTCACATAGACTAATTCAATGTCGAAATGAACGAATCCGTGGTGGAAATTGGGTTATTCTGAAAAATAGAGACGAAGTAGCCTACCGGAGTGCTTCTATTGGCAATAAAAGCGAAAAGTTGACTTTGAGCGTCGATATCTCAAAAACTATCTGTCCTATCGGGTTGATTATGGTCTCATTCGATTCAGCGTGTCATTTTCTACTAGAAAAGCGATAATTCGCGTGGATTTTCGTCGTTTTCTGGCACTTTCGGCCGTCCAAAGATGGCTCGGTGACTTTACCGTATGGAAGTCTTAGGTGAGAAAATGAAAATTTTTATTTGGCCTATTAAAAATCTGAAAAAATTCACATAGACTAATTCAATGTCGAAATGAACGAATCCGTGGTGGAAATCGGGTTATTCTGAGAAATAGAGACGAAGAAGCCTACCGGAGTGCTTCTATTGGCAATAAAAGCGAAAAGTTGACTTTGAGCGTCGATATCTCAAAAACTATCTGTCCTATCGGGCTGATTATAGTCTCATTCGATTCAGCGTGTCATTTTCTACTAGAAAAGCGATAATTCGCGTGGATTTTCGCCGTTTTCTGGCACTTTCGGCCGTCCAAAGATGGCTCGGTGACTTTACCGTATGGAAGTCTTAGGTGAGAAAATGAAAATTTTTATTTGGCCTATTAAAAATCTGAAAAAATTCACATAGACTAATTCAATGTCGAAATGAACGAATCCGTGGTGGAAATCGGGTTATTCTGAGAAATAGAGACGAAGAAGCCTACCGGAGTGCTTCTATTGGCAATAAAAGCGAAAAGTTGACTTTGAGCGTCGATATCTCAAAAACTATCTGTCCTATCGGGCTGATTATAGTCTCATTCGATTCAGCGTGTCATTTTCTACTAGAAAAGCGATAATTCGCGTGGATTTTCGCCGTTTTCTGGCACTTTCGGCCGTCCGAAGATGGCTCGGTGACTTTACCGTATGGAAGTCTTAGGTGAGAAAATGAAAATTTTTATTTGGCCTATTAAAAATCTGAAAAAATTCACATAGACTAATTCAATGTCGAAATGAACGAATCCGTGGTGGAAATCGGGTAATTCTGAAAAATAGAGACGAAGTAGCCTACCGGAGTGCTTCTATTGGCAATAAAAGCAAAAAGTTGACTTTGAGCGTCGATATCTCAAAAACTATCTGTCCTTTCGGGTTGATTATAGTCTCATTCGATTCAGCGTGTCATTTTCTACTAGAAGAGCGATGATTCGCCTGGATTTTCGTCGTTTTCTGGCACTTTCGGCCGTCCAAAGATGGCTCGGTGACTTTACCGTATGGAAGTCTTAGGTGAGAAAATGAAAATTTTTATTTGGCCTATTAAAAATCTGAAAAAATTCACATAGACTAACTCAATGTCGAAATGAACGAATCCGTGGTGGAAATCGGGTTATTCTGAAAAATAGAGAAGTAGCCTACCGGAGTGCTTCTATTGGCAATAAAAGCGAAAAGTTGACTTTGAGCGTCGATATATCGAAAACTATCTGTCCTATCGGGCTGATTATGGTCTCATTGGATTCAGCGTGTCATTTTCTACTGGAAAAGCGATAATTCGCGTGGATTTTTGCTGTTTTCTGGCACTTTCGGCCGTCCGAAGATGGCTCGGTGACTTTATCGTATGGAGGTCTTAGGTGAGAAAATGAAAATTTTTATTTGGTCTATTAAAAATCTGAAAAAATTCACATAGACTAATTCAATGTCGAAATGAACGAATCCGTGGTGGAAATCGGGTAATTTTGAAAAATAGAGGCGTAGTAGCCTACCGGAGTGCTTCAATTGGCAATAAAAGCGAAAAGTTGACTTTGAGCGTCGATATCTCAAAAACTATCTGTCCTATCGGGCTGATTATGGTCTCATTCGATTCAGCGTGTCATTTTCTACTGGAAAAGCGATAATTCGCGTGGATTTTCGCCGTTTTCTGGCACTTTCGGCCGTCCGAAGATGGCTCGGTGACTTTATCGTATGGAAGTCTTAGGTGAGAAAATGAAAATTTTTATTTGGCCTATTAAAAATCTGAAAAAATTCACATAGACTAATTCAATGTCGAAATGAACGAATCCGTGGTGGAAATTGGGTTATTCTGAAAAATAGAGACGAAGTAGCCTACCGGAGTGCTTCTATTGGCAATAAAAGCGAAAAGTTGACTTTGAGCGTCGATATCTCAAAAACTATCTGTCCTATCGGGTTGATTATGGTCTCATTC